TTCTCTAATCCGAGTCATACGGTAGTGTAGCGTTAAATACCATGGTTCTTATATAGCTGACGGGCTACCTCGATAGCTCATAAACAAAAGTTCGATAGCTGGTCCCCGAAAATCGGGGGCGTGCCGATCTGGTTCCCAATCGAGATCCGTTCGGGACCATATAAAATAACACCGCCCACTATATCCACTTTACCCATACAGTATGTATTTCGAGCGGGAAAAGTAATCATTTTACGTCCTACAAATAATCTTTTTGCCTGAGCAGTCGTTATGCGTTGTATAAACTTGCTTGAATCCAATTTGTTGCAGGAAAGTAACACCCCACGGCAATTGACCAACAGGGAACACCCGAATTACGCTGGATCCAAGATGAACAGTATTATTACTATTAGCAGTCATAGCGAGCTGGTATCTGTACAGTATTTGTCTCTCTGCCATCCCTATCTCCCGTGAAACGCTCCCTCAGCCTTGGAAAATCTGGAAGCTATGGAACCAACCGTTTGAACGGTTATGATGTTATTGGAGCTTTCACATGGGTGATAGACACATGCCGGTAGAGGTATCCATATAAAATCTAGGAAGACGCAGCTGGTCACAGTGGATTTTAACCAGAAATGTACCGGCTCCAGCACGTATTTTGGATCATGCCGAGCCTCAAAAGCACCGTACGTACCAAGGACGCCACCAATTTAAGATCCATGGACGGAAATTAACATTCCCTGCATGACACATACTATAGCGAGAACCGTAGGCACGTAGCAACCGGTAACCTACACTAGACCGAGCATGGATATGTATTTGCCCGTATGCTTCAGCCCCAGCACACGGACACCAGCCCACCGTCTTCTACATGTATTTGAAATAGTTCATTCCAGCTCGTGGTTTACCGAATAATCCAATATAATCTTACAATAGATGAAGTTAATCCAAAATAAACTATACGTCCGTAGCTAAACCAATTTCACACAGAAGCGTACAGGCCTAGACTTGTTTACATTTCCAACGCGGGACCGGTCCCGGTATATCCTGACAATGGGCCCAGCTCGCCACATCACAGCACCAGGACGAATAAGAACGAGACCTGGATATGGGTCTATTTCTTTCTGTATCGTACATACGTCTCAGTAGAAGTAATTTAACCAGGTGGGCGTTGGGAAGATTACAGAACTCTGGCAGATAAGAAGGATGCCACTCTCCACGATACCCACGAAAGACAACGGGTTCGTGCATTTCATGGAGAAGAAGGTTTTGAGAGAACTCGTACATGTATTGTTTTCCTAAGATTGGGTACGATCCAAGTATCTTGGCATGGATATATCCACGCACATGTACTCCGTAGGCCCGGAGATTACATGTAGGTTGTCTACTGTATGGAGTCGGTGCTTTGGGCATCGTCGGTAGTCATTTGAATCGAAGGTGGGATATTGGCAGTCTAGCCAAAACTCTCATTTGCCTATTCTGGCTTCTTCACTGTTGGATTGACACGAAATTGGGATGAGTGCTGCTCAGTGGGAACCTGTTATTGATGATCCAAGCTATTCTTGGTACCGTGCTCCATACGGAGTACACCGCTGGGTCGATCGCGAAATTGAATTGCCTCTAGGAGGAATGGGTTGTGGACTCGTATGGATACTGAAAATGGGATTTACTTTTGGCCTTTGAGCCAATGGCACTCGAAGACTGTTTATGTTGTGGTGGATTATAGATATACTAATGTAAAGACACCTGCAAGGTCCAGAAAATCTGGGCGATTTGAAATTCGAAGTAAAGGGTGTTCGGTTTATTGAAGCTGATCAATGCAGGTGCATATTCTTGTGCCGGATAGGTGAGCTAGATTTTATTTTCTTTGCAGATATCCTATTTTCTCTGTTCAACAATCCTTGGACTGAGCCCAATGCAATTATTCGTTTGTGCACGTCGTAAGGGAACACCGCTCTCGCCATACGAAGGGAAGCGCTGCCTTACTTTAGGATCTGCATGACGGTACACGTATATCTGCAGGCTATGGACTAACCCGAGAGACCGAGAATATTGGCAAACAACTTTTTCTACAGAAGTACAGGTACTACCAGGATGGTTGGTTCACAATAATATTATTCACGCACAGCACGCAAAGGGGTATTTCATTAAATCCATACTTGTCATAACCATCGACATCGTTTTCTTTCCAGGTTGCAGTTTCCGGTGATTTCACAGCCCCAGATGATATCCAGTGTATCCATCGCCGACCAGCGGCATCCCTGACGAGTACATATCCTGATTTGACATATAGCCTAAAGAGCTATCCATCAATGTCTTCTCTAGAGAAGCAGACTCGCATTCGAATTGCTCGAGAGGCCTGTGCAAATCCCATTTCCTGGCACAATACTTGAGCATGTCACGGACGTATGCAAGACAACGCATGGCGCGTGCATGGCAGTTGATCAGGTCATCGTCACCAAGTACGGGAGGGTCGGGCGTCCCGGCGGGAACGTGAGGCGGTGCGGGCACAGCGGCGCTCAGCAGTTGGTCATAGTTCTCGGATAATACGTCGATGAAGAGTAGGCCGACTTGGTGGACTCGCTGGATGTCGAGATATGTCAAGAAGGGGAGAGCACTAGGATTCTCCAGCACTTGGTGGATCTGGCTGATGTAGTCCATGCATCGGTCGAAGAGTAGGGCTTTGTTGTAGTCGTGCAGCGTTGGGTATCGGTGCGATGGTGATAGGAGGATGATGATTGTGTATAGCAGCTCGAGGCGATACAAAAGTGAGAAGTGGTTAGGGGCGTTCTTCGGGCACTGATGATACCACTCCCGAGCTCGCCAGCACAGAGTCCATACTAACACTAGAGGCTGCGGGGATGGTTCGCGCCCACTGTAATGCATTTCTTGGTAGCCGACAGATAAAATCTGTCGAATCTTCACAATATGTAAAGCAGGAACTGGACTTCGTAGAAAGATGTGGCTTTGTTCCGGGGAGCCCCCCGGGGCTGCGCTGGTTGATGGCAATGCAACATTTACAGATGCGTCGGAGAACGTAAAGGTTCTCTGTAAAGTGGAGCTTAATCCTCTGGAAAAAAATAGTCAGCAATGGCAAGATGTAAAGTTAAAAATGGAACGAACCTGTCCAAACAGTAGATGCAATGGAAAACTCGCCGACGGATATCAAGTCGGTCATGGTTGGTGAAAACCTCAGTAGGCGGATCTTGATGCAGGCCCAAATCAATCGCAACTTTGGCAGCCATACCGACCAAATACCAACTGCGAAAGCGAGCCGGGTCAACGAAAGAATACTGAGCAAGCAGCAATATCGCTTGGATTCCTGATATAGACCCCGGGCGAAGGACTTCTTCGGCGTATGTCAAGGCCTCTGATACGAGAGCCCATGCCCGTTGATGCATCTTGTCATTATTCTGCTCTGACACAGAGGCCGAAGCAATGGCTAAGACCATACGCAGCATCCAATGATCAAAAGGTTTGGCGAACCGGCCGCCTGATTGATATACTGCGTCTACTGAGGTCCAAAAGCTCGTCTCAACAAAGAAGGGCAGCTGGACGAACACATTGTCGAAATAGTGTTGTAGCAATGGGGTTGCTTCATGGCGTGCAGGTAGAGAATGAGGAGAGGATGGTGGAGGAGAATCGACGAGAGCGACTGATAGAAGGAGGTTCGCAAAAGAGGTGTTGGAGGTAATGCCATGGAAGTCACGCGATGTCGCGTTGACCGACCTTCAACCAACGTCAGTACTAATTCGACCAAACCCTCCAGAGTAAACCAACAAGAAACCAAAATCGCCAACGAGATCATCAATGTCGGATACCTCTCTGCGGTGTGCCGGTCCCAATGGTCCTTCGGATGAAATCGAGGTGATCGACACCTCCCGCGCGACGCCATTGCCCTCAGCGGACAGCGAGGTTGAACGGGCACGCATCTGAGAGATCTTCTTCTCGAGCTTCTCACAGTACCCCTCTAATGACGCCACATAACTTCTCTCTTTGCCTTTGGCAAATTCATCGCTGGCTCCGGAACAACTGCTAGCTTTGCCGACCCTCTCGCACGCCGAACAGGCGGGGAGCTTGCCGTCACATTTGATCTTCGCCGTCCGACATCTTGAGCAAGCGGCAACCGGACGACTCACCTTGAGCAGCGGATTATTCAAGAAAGTCGTGGCGGTGACCGACATGGCTCACTCTTTACTGGAAGCATGGTCAGTTCGAACGCGTCCCCCTGTCTCACCCCACTGGGCTCGCGCGAGCACAGGACTAAGCCACTCACATGACCGAGGGAAATAGCTTCGGAAGAGCCACCTGCATGAGCTGGGGAGGGTTTAGCGACTACCATTGTACGAGCGATATTAAAGGAACAAGCCTTACCCGCAAAAAGCCGTTGAGGAATGGCCCTCCACTATGCACAAGGGGCAAAAAAGACTTCATTTGCGTCAAGAATTGGGCAGATCTTCCGTGGAACCGCACGGACATCGCATCAACGACTTTCGGCCCCCTCTCATTGATCCAAGGCTCCTCTCACTTTAATTGTCTCCATATCCTCCTTGGAATTCAAGGCAGGCATTTACTTCCATCGCTTAATTTTGTCTCATTCAAGCCCCCTTACGGAGTTTCAGCTGCCATTGTACCACTGTCTTCTTCCTCCACTCGGCCTTTTTCTTAAAGATCCGTCGCTTCCAGTATCCTTTGGCTCGCGTCGATCCAGATCTGGACCGAGGCTTGCCCCTCTCACTGGCACATCACATACACTCTTGTGGCCCCATTCCGGTTGTACACAAGTACCGTGGTTTCAAATGATTGCCCTTTGATCGGATCTCCCCTTGGAAAGCTCCCGAACGCCATCTCCGGCCTCGTACTCGAGCATCAGGACCATGTCGACAGTGCCCAAAATTCTTATCTCGGTTCGAATGTACCTTGCTTATCGCGTTTAACGCCTGGGCACCCCAGGCCCAAGTGATCGGACCTTTCTTGATATTCCTTTTGACCTCATTCTTATTATTTTTTGGCCCCCAACCATGACCCCGAGTCCGGACAACTCAACAGTCGCAGGGCTTAAGTCGCCGGATTTGCATTCCTTGGAGCCACCTGACGGTCGCATTGCGCACACATTAACTGCCTGCACAAGGTGTCGACAGGTATGATGCAATAAGCGGGAGGTCCCCGCGATCTCGGTTTCTTTTATCCTTGCTGTTTCTTGGCGCCCATGGTATTTACTTGCGATGTCACTGTCGACTGACCCACCCTGTAGCGAAAGTCCAGGTGCGACCCTGGAATTCCACGATGTGCGCCCTGTGAACGAAGCAATGCCAAATGCGTATACTACGACTCAACAAGAGACTCCACCATACCGCGGACCTACATCGTGTCGCTAAGAGAGAAAGCCCGGGCGCTAGAAAGAGAGCTCGCCGAGGCCGAGAAGGAGATACAACATGCTGCCGATGCGGAGCTGATGGTGCGAGGCGCCGGGCGCATACGATTTAAAGAGAACGACGAGGCTAGATATCTCGGCCCCTCAAGTGGCATTGCCATGACTCGCTTGGTCATGGAGATGGCCAAGCAGAATACAGATTCGAAAAGCATCAAGGATGTTGTCCCAGATTTCACCGCCCAAGAGATCAAAGATGCCTTTGCGCAAGAAGACTCGAAGCCTACCTCCAAAATCTATCCCATGATCAGTTCCATTCCACAGCCGAATCTACCCCCACAGAACCTGACATATAAGTTGATCGATCTCTTTGTGGCAAAATGTACCGAACCCTGTCAGACTCTTGTGGTTCGCGTGGCTGATTTGTTGTATAGCACAAGCACTCCTTCCAACTTTGCATGAGCCTACATTTAGGCAAGAGGTAGAAGAAGTCTTTAATGGCTCTGCGGATCCTTGTCAGAACTTCCAGCTACGGATGGTCATCGCCATTAGCATGCAGAAACTGAGTACCGAATATGCTGGTCTCGCTGATAGTTATTATCTGGCGGCCTTGCCCTATCTGGAGCCCACGCTGAAGCGAATGGATGTAAGGGCTTTACAATGCCTCGTGCTTATTGCCTCATATTCAATGTTAACACCCACTCGAACTGCTGCATACTGGGTCGTGGGGACGGCCGCCAAACTTTGTCAAGATTTGGGATTGACTGAAGAGGCTACCGTGACAAAATCGCCATGTGGGCAACCTCTGAACGCCCTAGAGATCGATATGCGCAGGAGGCTCTTCTGGATTGTATCATCCATGGAGTTGGGGCTTTCCCACAGCCTGGGTCGTTGCAGCAGCTACAGCGTCAGTCACGACCACATCAATGTGAAGTTCTTTGAACTTGTGGATGATCGATACATTACGGCTGAGGGTATCACCCCAGGCGCGAAACCCGTACTGGCAAAGTGCATTGCAGTCCACTTTTTCAAGATGCGATTGCTCCAGTTGGAATGCAGGCGAACGCTCTACTTGAACCGACGAGAGACTCCAGTCGATGATCAGGATCCATGGTTCTCTCAGATGTTGGCTAAACTCGATCACTGGATGGCTACTTGCCCAAAGAATGACGATGGCAGCGGGCTGAATGTGAAATGGTACGTTTGTAGTCCGCTCCGTAAAGTGGCATCGCTGACATTCTCTACAGGTTCCATGGAAGGAGAAACACAATCATTATTCTCATGTATCGGCCGTCGCCCCAGATTCCTGAACCCAGTGTCAATGCTGCGAAAACTTGCTATGAAGCAGCCATTTTCAATATTGCCATGCATCGAGAACAGATGGTAACCGGGTCTGTTGACCTGACGTGGGTCTTTGTGCAAGCTCTTTTCATGGCTTTGAACACTGTCCTCTGGACCCTCTCCTACCCCGAGATCCGAAAAGAGCATACTATCGAGGAAGTTCAAGGCCATCTTGATATGGCCCTTGAAGTGATAGTCTACTCTGCCGAACGATGGCCTGGAGTGCAGTCCGCACTGCTTCTCTACAAACGCCTTGTTGCGGCATGTTTGAAAGCTTACAGCACCGAAGAGTCGTTCGTTGTGCACTCACCTTCTAACCATCCTACTCCAACCTCTTCGCAAGGGGTTACGACTCCACCAGCCATGTCCAGTCCATCAAGCACTACGACTGCTTCCTATTATTCTCACAATCATCGTGGAGGAAATGTATCAACTGCCTCGAGCGGTACTTACTCCAGAGGACAATCTGCCGACCCTACTTTCTCGCAAGACTCCACCCCACCGGCGGTGGCTCCTGTGCCCCCTGAGTCCTTCAAGCAAACACCAATGCCATCAGTCTCCTCTGCCCTTGGGATGCCACCCTCTTCCGCCCCGAACACGACACCACATTATACATCAGACACCTATGTCGGCCAGATTTCGCTCTATCCCGATATGTCCATTGACCCCAATACTCCTTATAACTCGATTCCTTCAGTTGTCCCTGGTCTACAAGGCTGGGACCCCAACTTCTCGCTTGCGTCTACGACCGCGGGCCATCTAGCATACGTCGACGCGTCTGTCGATCCCATGAACTGGACCACATCCATTGGAGACCAGTACTCTCAGTATTTCAATGAGCCATTCCCAGTACCTTCTTGGCGTGAGCGCACGCTCAGTCAGCAAGAGCAAATCGAGCTTTTGGCCTCTCTCGAACACGATATACCCGATGTCTCTGCTCAATTGGTGAATGAGTATAATGCTTTCTACCAGTCATGAGGCGCTGGTTAATTAGCTCTCAAAGCCCCGGTGATGGGCAAGCACCCCGTGCTCTGATTTCAGCGATATCACGCTATTCTGTCTTGGACCGACTCATCTTCTGACATTACCGGATAGTCTTGAATGGTCATGTTGCAAACTGGGCTGAGGTAGCCCATGGTTCAGGACTGCCTCTTTAGACCATATGACTTTGTTATTCTCGGCGAATAGGTTACCAATAGCAAGAGATACCACGTTGAACTGTTTTTAACATGTGTTCCGTTCATGACTTGATGTTTTGGGGTAATAATGGCTGCTGATAAGGCCGCCATCCGCTATCCGCAACCCGGCATCCACGTAATGTTATTTAAACAACTCTGTTCATGATGCAGCGGAGATAAGACCCGCTCTAGTGCTGGTTGTCGCTTTGATTGACATTGTTCTGAATTGCAAGATGTGTACCCATTTGTGTATCTTTGTTAATCCATTCTTGGATGTCTTTGTTAGAATTGATTTGAAGTCCTATCTCAAAATTACAGGTCGTAATGAGATCAATGCCTGGGATGTTCATTGTCAATGGCTCTATCTCGGCGGTGGCAATGTATCAAATAGTGTCTAATAGCTAGTGGAGTAAGGACTGCTGGATACTAGGACTACAGCTTGAAAGACAGCAACACATTCTAGTAATTGAAAGTATTTGATTGGATCTGAGTATTACCTAGATCGTATTGTCGTCTTCACTCAAAGGAAATAAATAACTTAGAAACAATGAATACATGTAAGTTAGTCAAAGAAAGACTAGGTGCCAAGAGCCGGTCACGTGAATACCAATCCGTCATCCTCCTTTGACCACAGGATCGTCTCCATCATCACCCTCCTTCACCGCAGCCACCCATCAGCCACCCGATTTCCACTGCCTGTCGGACTCATCTTAGTCCCCTGGAATGCAAATGATCTAGGTCGGCCGCTGAACGACCTGCTCGTCCGCTTGAGCGACCGTCGATCGTCGACCGGGACCCCCTCTCCAAACACTGGTATCGAAGTTTGCGCTTTGGATCCAGAGCCGCTCTGGTTCATACCGACTTGCATGCTTAACTGTTCCTCGGGCTCTCATGTCTGATCGCACTCAACCAGCATCTTTCCAAGCAAGACCTCCTTCGCCTTCCTCGCCCGCCGCCGGGTCTCTGAAAGAGAACCATCGGCTGCCCATTTCTTCGGATCATATCCCTCAGACTCCGACCTCCCCTCCGTTGATGTCGGTTAGCGATCAGAACGATGCCGCCAACTTCACATCTTCGCATACATCACCGAATCAGGCGACGGTCCACCCTCCGAACGTATCCTCCCCTCCATCCTCTACGCCGATGTCTACCCAGGCCTCTCAGCAACAACCAATGAGCTCAACCAACTCATTCCCTACGCCTGCGAGCAGCGTTAACGGTTATCCTTTGAATGCGACGGGGGAAGATAAGGACGGGAGAAAATATTTCAACGTGAATACAAACGACTCGACTGAAAATTCAGGTCCCGATCAATCATCAGAGCACAGACGCACCGATCACAATCGGCAGACTTTTTCAACAGACACAAATACCATCGGGCGAGGGCAACAACATTCGGATCCCGACGCTATGGAGGTTGATACAGAGCCTGCTCGCCGGTCAGATATCAGCAATCTCGGTTTGGATTCTCTTCAGAAGGAGCTCACATCTGCTTTCCATCTTTGCAAGAGCTGTAAGATTTCCCCAATGGATCGTGGTGTCCACTGCGGGCATCTGCGTGAATCACTAATTTTTGCATGTTCTGTGAACTGAGGTTGTTAACACTGCTTTTTACACCTTGATAGCTCCCATTGTGACTGGCCCCGATCCGTCAGTGGACCTCGTCTCCCTATATGGGTTAGGACCCATTGCGCACTCGGTAGCAAGACTGGACCCCGTCACTGGAGAGAAAATCAACCGTCTACGAAAATCCTACGAGGGAAAGCTGAAGGGACTGGGACTTGCTGGTCGGAACAAACCCTTCAAACAGGAACCCGGCGCGCCTGGCAGTCTCAGACATATGACTCTGTGGCCTGAGGAAGAATGGCAAAACCAGAAGGTGTTTGGCAAGCAGATCAAGATTTCAGACATGGATACGGCGCTGCAGGATCTTCAATCACGCGCTATGCAAATGGAACCTGGACCGGTGCCCAACAACGATTTCTGGGAGGATATTCTCGGCCACGAAAAGCCAGTCAAGAATCCCGCCTCCAACGAACACAGCAAAAAGGCTGCCTCAACCCCAAGCAACCGCCCCTCTATGCACTCCAACGCCGCATCTCCACAACCACAACCACAAGAGGTAGACCGGCCTCGGCCCAGCAGAGGTCGCAAGAGGCATTACGATGATAACAGTTTTGCCGGTTATGGTGAAGGCTTTGTGGATGACGAAGAGGACCCCGGATTCTACTCGAACGGCGAGGGAACTGGGAAGAAGAAACGCAAGAAGGTATGGACCTAAGAATCAGTTGTGGTCCAACGCCCAACCTAACCACGTCAATTAGGACCATGTCGCCAAGGTGTCGACCCCAATGTCTAGCGGTGGTAGCTATGGGGTAGGCATGTTTGGCATCGGGGCCAGATGATGATTTGCAATATGGTCTTTTTGGGTCATCCAAAAGCAGTTTCTGTTTCTGTTGCTTTTCTTTCCCCCATACGATGAAAACCCCATTTGCCCATATTAACCTGGGGGCGATGGCTCGAGTCGTGTCTTGCTGCCATGCAGGGCATGGGTTCTTGAAGCCTCCGTTGTTTCCCCTTTGATTTTTTACCCTTGTTTTTTCCACTTCTCAGTACATGTTGCATCACGGTGCTGGATATACCCGGCTTTCATCCATCGGCGTTTTTGGCAGGGTGGGAAACAAAGTTATCCAATATGGATACGATCAATTGCTTTACGTTGCACGGTCTGTTTCTTTTCACCTCGTACTTCTGTTCTTTTTTCTCGCGCACAGCTATTCGAGATGTCCACTGTTGTAATGGTTGGTTGTTTCTTTCCTGCAAACGGTGTTGTATTATGCTTGCTTGTTTCTTGATTCCTTTACCCTGTTCTGCTGACATACTGGCTGGACTGTTGTGTTCACCAATGATTCCTGGGAGTGCTAATGCCACTCTCTGATGTTTGTATTCGTTTATATCTTCAGGGCTTTTGTCTTGACAGCGTGGAGATCTAATTCTGCGTATGTCAGGACAAGTCCGTCCGAAGAGCTAGTCAATTGATCCAATAGATGACTTAAAGTATTCTATAGGGCGAAGATGTAGAATTTACCCCAAGGGGTGTATGTTCATATCGACGTTCTCCAGTTCCCAACTACCAATCGAAATCCAACAAACCTGGAATAGGCAAGAAACAAAAATCCCTGGCTATAAAACCCGACATCGAAACACCGCATAATTCTTACCCATCCAGGAACCCCGAGTTTCAAGCCCAGATCCCTGCCTCAACCACCCACACCCCCAGCATATTCAAAACAAAGAAACAAGAAAAGAACCAAGGGGGAAAAAAGGCTTCGTAGCTGATACCTTCGGCGACGCCGACATCACAAAACAAAAAGCAAGCTCAAGCCCAATCCTCCGCCAGCCACAGCCAAAAATGCCAACCCAGCGCCTACACACACCAACGTTCCAACGGCCTCAAATCAAACGCCTAGCAAGCACCCAATCAAACACTGCCGCATGCATCCACTTCTAACCCTCTTCCAAGTCGCGATGCCAACAGTAGAAATTCGGTGCTGTTTTGCGAGTAGCACCGATTGGCTGTATATCGGGGCTACTGCAGCCGTGCCGATTGGGCGCTAACTATTTATTTACCCCGTTTTTGATGCTCTTATATCTCACATCTCATATACCCCGGGTGTCTGCGTAAGCATCCTGTGTATGTCAACCACTATTCTCTCTATCATCCGATACCTTCGGACGCAAGCTAGCTCTTTGGATAGCCGTCCTCGCCTTCACAGTCGGATCTATCACGGTCGCTCTTTCTCATGCGTCTCATCAAATGCTGATCGGCCGATCGATTCAGGGTATTGGCGGAGGTGGCATCATGGCTCTGACCGAATTACTTCTTGCAGACCTCATCCCGCGCCAGGAACGAGGAAAGTGGTTCAGCATCCGCCCTGGGACTTGGGCTCCGGAAACAGTCGTGGGCCCTATCATCGATGGAGGATCTGCTCAATCGTCGGCTTCGTGGCGGTAGACCTTCTGGAATAACCTGCCTTTTTCTCATTTCTCTTTAGTAGAAGAATGATCTCGTCTTGCCAAACGTATGCCAGCGTCCTATTGTTTTAAGTCTCGGTTCAAATATTGCAGAGCAACCTGAACCTGCAGCCAAGTTTTAAACCGAGCCGTATAGTCTCTGAAGGCCCGAGAGAGACACAGAGAGAGAGAGAGAGAGAGAGAGAGAGAGTGTGTGTGTGTGTGTATGTGCGTGTGTAGCCTGGCCAATGCAGCCACCTGCAATATGTCGAGAAGTGCAGTAAGTAGATAAGCCCGCAGAATTAGGGCTATTGCAGCCGACAGGATCACGCAGGCATTTTCACAGGTTCGAGCATTTATTTACTAACAGCAGATTTATTTACTGCTCACGGCCTCCCCATTCAATAAATAAGTCCTACACTTCTGCTATTCCGACAACATGACCAAATACTCAGAAAAACAACTTGGAATGTGCAAAGGTACAAAAGTACCATGCATAATTACGCGTGGTGCGCGGGTACCTCAGTTGCGGTCAGCCGCACGTCTTGTGAATGTTGCAGGTTCCACTCAAATCAAAATCATCAGGGTTCTTGCTGATATTTGCTAACATAGATTCAGGCAACTATTATTGGATGCTAAAATGTCAAAGAAGGTTTCCCTAGCCCGCCACGGCAATGCTGAAGCTGATATAGCGTCACACAGCCCACAAGCCACTCAGAGAACGACTATTGATGATCATGCGGGTTGAGGGGTTTGCCGAGTGCCCATATAATGGCTCGCTGACAG